GTTCTGGGATCGAATATGCAGACATGGTAATATAGCTAATAAAACTGTAATATATACTTGAAAGTTGCTGAGAGAGTAGATCTTAAATGTCTTCACCACACAACAACAACAACAAAAACCCAAAAACCATAATTATGTGAAATGATGGATGTGTTAACTAACTTTGTTTTGGTAATCATTCCACAGTATAAATGTGTATCAAATCACCACCTTGTACCCTTAAATGTACATAATGTTATATGTCAATTCTACCTCAATAGACCCGGGGGGAAAATATTTTTCCATTAATATGGAGCTGGGAATATTCCCTAAATACCACCTAGAGCANTGGGGGCGGAAATATTTTTCCATTAATATGGAGCTGGGAATATTCCCTAAATACCACCTNCGGGGGGAAAATATTTTTCCATTAATATGGAGCTGGGAATATTCCCTAAATACCACCTAGAGCATCCCAAGTACCCTAAATAAGTCTTTGATAAATAAATGAATCAGTCATTCATAGAAGGACTTAAATGCCTGATACCTTAAGATACCCTCCCAACACACACTGATATTTGATTTCAATAGAGTGCAAAGGCTCAAAAGGACAGAATTATGTTTCCAGCCATTCCACTTAACTTAAGTTCTATCTGTCCAGGTGTCATTTAACCATCTACTAAGTGTTTTTCTTTTATTTTCTTCGAATCTCCCTTTAGCTTACAAAAGCCTGAAAATTCCAAACTACTGTGATTTTATGACAGCTCAATTAAGAAAACATGTCATTCTTATATCTGATAAATCAATTTTTATAATAGAGATACTCCTCATTCTCCTGTCTTTCCTCTTAGCCATTCAAAATAGCTGAATTTAAAATTTAATCCAAGTCCTATATTTAAGTAAGTGCTAAATTCACCACGTATCAGATGATTTTGTACTCCTTATCAAAATTATAAAATTGATTATATTACACTATTCTAATAAAAATGATAAAGGAAACCTACTTGGGCTAAATTGTCTCACAAATCAGGTTTAAAAAGCAAATTCATTCAGAATAAAATGCTTTAAGATCCTCTTTTAACTGGAAAATTTTGCTTGACTGTCCCGAATGTTAAAATATGCAATACTTTTTCAAGAACCCCTGTAATAATCATTAGATTATAATTTCCAGCATACATAAGTTTTATTAGACTACATAAATATGTTTATCTTTCATAGGCTTGCTTTGGCTTTAATTATCAAAATTATTTTGGAAAATAAAGGCTGCATTGTATAACGAGTTTAACCATGAAATGAATATGACAATTATTTCATTTCACTTGGAATTAATATTTAAATCAGTCTATTTCCTCATTACTCAACACAACCCTGTTCACTCAAAAGCATGAGAAAAGTCTGAAGGGGAAGTGACTCTAAAGAATAGAAATGAAAAGAAAGAGGACAATGGAATAGTAAGAGAAATAAAAAAGAAAATGAGAGGAATTCAAGAAGTTAAGAGAATTAGGTGGTCATATTTTATTAATATATCAATATATCAATACATATCAACTTCAGTGTTTTGTTATGTTTTGTTTTTTAATTTATCTTGACTGTTGAAAGTATTACAGGTGTCCCATTTTTCCCCCCAATTGACCCCCTCCACCTCGCTCCCAGCCCCTACCCAGGCCTTCACCCCATGATTGTTTGTGTCCATGGGTTATGCATATATGCATAAACTTCTTTGGTTAATCTCTTCCTACCCTCCACCCTCCTTCCCTCTTCCCTCTGAAATATGATCGTCTGTTACATGTGTCAGTGTCTCAGGATCTATTTAGTTCATCAGATTCTTTTGTTCATTAGTTTCTTCTTAAAGAAGACCCTTCAACATTTCCTGTAGTGGTGGTCCGGTGGTGATGAACTCTTTTAGCTTTTCCTTGTCTGAGAAGCTCTTTACTGACCTTCAATTCTAAATGATAGCTTTGCTGGTAGTCTTGGTTGTAGTTCCATGCTTTTCATCACTTTGAATATTTCTTGCCACTCCCTTCTGGCTTGCAAAGTTTCGATTGAGAAATCAGCTGACAGTGTATGGGTGCTCCCTTGTAGGTAACTAACCGCTTTTCTCTTGCTGCTTTTAAGCTTCTCTTTTTGTCTTTAACTTTTGGCATTTTAATTATGATGTGTCTTGCTGTGGGCCTCTTTGGGGTCCTCTTGTTTGGGACCCTCTGTGCTTCCTGGACTTGTAAGTCGATTTCTTTCCCCAGGTAGGGGAAGTTTTCTGTAATTATTTTTTCAAATAGGTTTTCAATTCCTTGGTCTCTTTCTTCCCCTTCTGGCACCCCAATAATACGAATGTTGGGCCTCTTGAAGTTGTCCCAGAAACTGCTTATGCTATCTTCATATTTCTGGATTCTTTTTGCTTTTTGCTCTTCTGGTTGGGTGTTTTTTGTTTCCTCATGTTCCAAATTGCTGATTTGATTCTCAGCNGCTCTTCTGGTTGGGTGTTTTTTGTTTCTTCATGTTCCAAATTGCTGATCTGATTCTCAGCATCCTCTACTCTACTGCTGATTCCCTGTAAATTATTCTTCATTTCCGTTTGTGTAGTATCAATTTTTTCAATTATTTTTGTCATACTCTTACTAATACCCTTGGGCATCCTTATAACCATTATTCTGAACTCTGTATATGTTAGTCTGCTTGGATCTATTTCATTTAGTTCCTCTTCTAGAGATTTCTTCTGTTCTTTCCTTTGTGACATGTTTCTTTGCCT